GATGCTCCCCTCTCTCTCGCCCGCAGTTCCCCAGTCCTTGCCTCTTGAGGGCTCGCTCCAGGCTGTGCATCAGCCCGCTGCCTCCCACTCTGCTGCCGCGTTGATCCTGTCCTCCTTCACCGGCACGTCTTTCGTCACGCTTGCCGATACCGCCCAGGCGAGCGAGACCCAGCGCCTGCCTTCCATCCCTGCTCCGCTGCCGCGACGGCGAGCGGTATCTGCCTCCCTGGCTTTCCTCGTGTCGTTGACGCCAATCTGGCAAGCAGCCACACCTCCCCACCTCCCTCCATGGTACCGTCGCGTGTCAGGCGAGCGATAACCACCTTCGCGTCTCCCATCACGATGGTTGATGCGGATCTGGTGAGCGCGAGCCCCCTTGCTCCTCCCGCCGGATCTGGCAAGTGCGCACTGCCTCCGCGTTCTCCGTCACGGCGCTGTCGCGGATCTGGCGAGCGGTAACTGCTTCCGCGCCTCTCCTCATGCAGCGGCCGCGGATCAGGCGAGCGGTAGCCGCCTTCGCGCCTCTCGTCACGCAGCGGCCGCGGATCTGGCGAGCGGTAGCCGCCTTCGCGCCTCTCGTCACGCTGCGGCGCGGATCTGGCGAGCACGCGCCGCCAGCGTGCCCCCCATCGCGATGCTGTCGCTGGCCTGATGCGAGCGCGCCGTCGCCGCGACCCACGTCACGGTGCTGCCGCAGATCGGACACGCGCCCCTCGCCTCCGCGTTTCTCGTCACGATGCTGACGCGGATTCGGTGAGCGCGGGCCACTGCTACGCCTCCGCCGTCGTTCTTCTCTTCGCCACGCGGCTGGTTCCGCGCACCATTCGTCCGTCCGCTTTCGCCGCGCTTGGCTCCGCCGCCGCGCCCGCCTACGTCGAATCGGCCTCCTTGACTCCAGCGGGCATTTCGCGCTGCTCGCCTGCGCCTTCTTCCTGGGCTTTGTCATCGCCCTTCGCCTCGCCTTCGCGATTCGTTTCCTGCGGCCTTATTCGCCGTGTCGGCCTCGTCCTCTCCGTCAACATCGAGGTCTCCCTGCCGACCAGAGAAAAATTCCTCCAGGCCACGCCGCGACTCCGATCTTCGCGACGGCGGTAACCCTCTTCCGGCGAGCGATACGCTCCCGTGTCCTGGCGATGCCCATGATCGCCACCAGCTCCGTGTCGTGCATCCGTCCGCCACGGGTCACTTCCCATCCTGACGGACTCGAATCCGCCTCTTCCTTCTCGCTCTGCACCTTCTCCTCGGCGATCTGGCGCGAGAGGGACCAGATCTGCGCGAAAGGCCGGCCTCCGCGGCGAGCGCTCAGGCCTCCGCGGTGACCTCTCCAACGACCGCCCCGCGCTCACGTGAGCGTTGCGCCGTGAGCGATCATCCTTACGGCGACCATAGTTCCTGCCATAACGCAGTTCGTACACATCCATGCTTGCACACGCACCTTTCCGGTTGCTATAAAAGTTATGTAACTCTCACCTCAAGGGTCCTCCCTGAGTGGTGTGCCACGTGTCTGCACAGCTGAGGCAACAATAGTCCACTATACAAAAGGATAGCAACCGAAAAGCATCAGGGCTGTGTGAGCGAGTGACTTACCTGGCCTGGGCTCGAAACCGTGCATTTCTCAATGTGCGGCTCGAGCCTGGGTTGGTTCAATCACATTGGTCGCGTGGATCTCACCCTTGGTGCTCTCCTACCAACCTCGCGTCAACTTCTCTGGTTCCCAACTACCTACCTTCGAATATTCATACACATCATTACTACACCCGAACCACACTAGAACTACACCTCAATCTAACTGGCACCTTATATGCACAACCGTGCATATTCGGTGACACTCCGCGGAGCTCACGTACAACCACTTGAAGAACCTGTATCAAGCAACAGACAGCGTAAACCAAAGCCGGTTAATGGCGCAGCTGACAACAATCGAAATGAAACCAGGCGAGAAGGGCATGGCATATATCAGTCGCTGCCGCGAACTGCGCGACAAGCTTCTTCGATGTGGAGGATCGATTTCAGAAGACGCCTTTGTCACGGTTGTCATCGGTGGTCTTGGCCCTCACTGGCGCTCCACTCGCGCCATATTACGGGCATACGGGAGAATCTCCGAAGCAGCACTCTGCGCCGAAATCCATGCTGAACAGCAGGACATGGACCTGCAAGAAGAACGACATAAGAAGAAAAAACGTCAGTACCAGAGTTCGCGTTTCACACCCAGCGACGCTACAACAACAACAATCGACAGCAACAACAATTGAAGCCAGTACCTCAGTTTTGCCATATTTGCAAGACTTCAGGGCATCCTCGTACGCACTGCCCGTATCGCCAGCAATCGACAACACCACAGCGACAACTTCGGCCTTCAAGCTCCCAAGTCACTTCAACGCAAGCAACTCCCACGACAAAGATTCAAACCTCAACGACTCCAACAGGACAACCTGCACAAGGAGCAAGAAACATCGTCAACTGCATGGCAAAGACAACAGATTCCTGCATCACCGAATCACCGCCGCACTACTCAGCAGAAGAACGACTTGACGAAACCACACCCTCGCCGCGAGTCACTTCAGCCGAAACCCGACATACGCCGCCATCGCTCAAGCGAGCCATCCGGAAGAGACACTTGGTTCTTGGACAGTTGCTGCGGACAACACATGTGCTCCTCAGGACGTTTCGTTCAACGCGAGCACCGACTTCAACGAGAAGTCGTCATCACCGTCGCCAATAATCAGAACCTGCGAACAAGACGACAAGGCATAGTACAGCTTCAGTCACGAGAGACGAACGTCGTACTACAAATGTCGGAAGTCCTAATAGCAGAGGGACTCGGCTACAACTTACTGAGCGTCAGTCAGCTGATGGCGAAAGGCATACACCTGGAAGCCGACAGCACCACCCAGGGAGTTCAAACTGTACCACGAGAAGGGCGGCCTCTACATCGGAAAGGCGGTTCTGAAGAATAACGTCTTTGTCCTTGACTTCGTCCCAGACCTGGGCACCGCAGACAGCGACGCCATCGTGAACTTCGCCGACTGGACGCACCCTCCAGATCTTGATCCATACTTCAGCCCGGAAGGCTTCTGGTACTCGCATACCATCCCTGAAGTAGAACGAACACGCGCGTTAGCAACAATTCAACATCCGGCAGCAGCAGAGACAACATCGGCAGCAGCAGAAGCAGCAGAGACAACATCGGCAGCAGCAGAAACATCATCGGCAGTAGCAGAACCATCGTCAGCTGACACCAGTTCTCGTTGACAAAGCACCACCAACACTCGCATAGCAGCTGAACCCAACTCAACGAGAAGTCCACAGAAGCACAAACTTCGTCGCCAGCTTCTACTCCAGCTCCGATGCGTATCGACGCTCACCCGGACACCGCGCCCTCCGTAGACATCTGGCACGCACGCATGGGACATCCAAGCAACACCGTGTTAAATAATACAATAAGAGCAGGAGTCCTAGACAAGGATTCATTACTACTACCCGACGGCAGAGAACTTCAACGGGCACGAGGAACTTGCCTCACCTGCCCCGAAGCCGACTTACCACATCGACCGTTTACTCCTCACCACAACCCGAGCGCATCCGCGTACGCACCACTCGAGAAGGTGTACAGCGATATTCTCTTCAATCGAGAACCAGGACAAGTTACTTACAACTACACGATAACCTTCATCGACGCCGCCACTCGATATGTCTGGCACCTAAACCTACCCAGCCGCGACATGGCACTCGCAGCGTTCGCCGCCTGGCTACCAGTAGCAGAGAGAGAGTTGGGAGCACAGCTGAAAAGCTTCCAGTCAGACGGAGGAGGAGAATGCACCTCTCAGCGCTTCAAGTAGTACCTGGCGGAAAGAGGAATCAAGCAGCTCCTCTCCCTTCCCTACGCCCATCAGCAGCAAGGTGTCGAAGAAAGAATTAACAGGACTCTGCAGAACAGCATGCGCAAACTGCTACGTGGCATGCGGCTACCCAACCACCAGTGGCCTGCAGCAATGGACCACGCTGTCATGCTGCACAACTTGATGTCGTCGTCCTCACTTCCGAACAACGCATCACCGCATCTGCTGTGGACAGGGAAACAGGGCAGCACAAAAATGTTACGAGTTTTCGGGTGCATGGTACAGTACCGACCCCCAGAAGTACGAGCGGGAAGATTTTCACAACGCGCACAGTGGGGACTACACCTCGGCATCGAAAAGAATTACAACGCGTGGAAAATCTTCGACGTCCACTCCAAGGAAACAGTAGCAGCACGTGACGTGATCTTCTACGAACGACTCACGCTTCAGACGTACCTCGCCAACTTGCACGAAAATAAGGACCCCACAGGTGGCTTTCGTGGTGACCGAGCCTTCGCCTCAGCAGCGGACGAAGCAGACTGGGACGAGCAGAACGCCGACAACGCATCAGAAGAAGCCGGACCTCTACCGTTCTGCTCCGTCAACGTCCCCATGGACGAAGAAAATCCTCGCGAAAGTGCCAACGCCGAAGTCTTCTACCACTTCGCCGACAACGGTTACGTAACACCTGCGACAGTCAACACCAACGAAGCAGAACGGATAGGGCCGAATTTCATACCCGACCCAGAAGCGGGAGATGAAGCAGCTTATCCCGAGGACACAACTCTCCCCCGCTACTCACAGACTGGACTGCAGATTCTCGGCCTCGTCACCGCAGTCCACGGCAATGCTCTTCCTAAAGAGCCTGCGACAGTTCAGCATGCTCTGGGGGGGGAACACAGGGAGAAATGGCGTGAAGCCATGGACAGAGAGTTAAAGGCGCTGGAGGAACGCAACACCTGGAAAGTCGTTCCCGTAAGCGTGGCAAGGAACAAGACCATCCTCACCGGGAAATGGGTCTTCCGCATTAAAACAAAGGCAGACGGTACAATCGAGAAATTCAAAGCACGCTGGGTCGTGCGTGGATCGACCAGGAGCATGGACGGGACTTCACCGAGACATTCGCCCCGGTCAGCCGACATACCTCACTCCAAATTCTTCTCGCGATCGCCGCTATGAAGAAGAAGAAACTGCGACAAATCGATGTCGCCAACGCGTTCCTCTACGCACCCGTCCACGCCGAAATCTTCGTCGAGCTCCCACACGGTACCCACGGGGAACCTAACCAAGTTTGCCAGCTACTGAAATCGCTCTACGGTATCAAACAAGCCCCGCGGCTGTGGCAACAGCACCTACACACTCGCCTCACTCGCATCGGATTCCGCCAACTACCTCACGACCAAGGAATGTATCGACTCACCAAAAACGCCGACTATATCATGTTGATCGTCTACGTCGACGACCTACTCTACATTGGCTC